TCTAAGTTAGTCAAACAATCATTAAATGAATCACCAAAAATAGAAAAATCATCCATGAAAATGTCAAAAAAATACACATAACATAAAGGCATGGAAAAAAAAAATGCAATTACAGCCCAACTGCAATAAACCATATTGCACGCATCACTTCATTGAAAACATCTTAACTCGATAATTTTAATAGCTTAGAAGTTGAGAGAGTGTTTGAAAACACGAGTCAACTAATATTTTTTTTAAAAAAATTAGTATTTTATTAAAAATTATTTTTTTATATATATTGAATTATTTTAATATATTGATTTTAAAAATAATTTTTAAAAATAAAAACATTATTTTAAAATAAAAAATATTTTAAAAAATAATTATAATTATACTTTCAAACATATTTTCGTTAGACTTCAGAGAAAGATGCGCAAACCACATGAACATGATGGCTTTCCTCAATATTGGCGCCAACTTTTTTATATTTTTAAAAGGTACAAACTAACCCTTGTTCACACACACACATATGTATATATATATATATATATATATAAAAGAAAAGAAAATGAAGAATATTTATCCCTTTAAAATCAACGACGACTTAATTATGAGTCCCTGTTAAAAGACCACTCCACCCTGAAAACTAAAATTTATTTTTTATTAAAAAATAAAAAGATAATCTCACTGTAATGGTTAATTGTACAAATTATAAATGAAAATTATAAGCAACAACAATAGTAATCACAACAACAACAATACTAATAGAAATATTAGTAGTAGTAGTAGTAGTAATAAAGAAAGAGATGGAGAAGAAGAAAAAGAAGATGAGAACTTTGAGATGGAATATCAGTGTAAGGATTATAAAATCAGTGATGTTATTTTGAAACGGTAATAAGCCCGATAAATAAATAAAGGTGAAAATTAATGAATATATTCCAAATAATAAAATGACCTTAAAGGTTTAGAAGGATAATTGATATGACTTTTTGTGAAGATTGAACAAGAAAAATCTAGATTGTTTATGAAAAGTCATAAACTGAACAAGTTTACATTAGGAAGTAGAGCTCTTAATCCAATCGTTGGATTAGAATGAAATTTTACATGAAGTCTATTAATATGTTTTCCTACCTTGGTCAAATATCTCATCCTAATCAGAGTTTGGTAGAGTAGTAATTTAAGCAGAAATAAACCAGATAGTTTACATGAAAAATAAAATAAAATACATAAAGGCATGAATGAGGGATAAAATTGTAATTATAGAAAAAATGCCTATAAAACTGCAAAGAGGCCCAGTTAAAAAAAAAACAAAGAAAAAAATAGAGAAAAGTGGATAGAGAGAGAGCTGCAGATTTTGGAGAAAAACCAATAATGCTCCAGTGGCCATATCTCTAAAATCCACCATTGAATCATATTGTGTTTTAGATATGTTGTTCTTATGACACTCCTCTACTAACTAATTGGAGGGATTGGAAGGAACATAATCCATTTGACAGAAATCATCATCGTAAATTTCCTAGAAAACAAAAAGGAAATGCACATGTAGGGTAGTTTGGTCACTGGCTGATTTTTCCCTCTTCCATCGTTGGATCATGCTCATTCTTGGATATATGGTGTGCCTAGATGTTGCCTTCATTCTGGACGGTGGAGATCGGAAACTCATTCTCCAGCAAGGTTTCGTGCATGGTGAACAGTAGCTCGTCCATTTTCAGGTAAGCTCGGTTTTATGCAGATCTAGGGATATCTAACCATTGGCTCATTATGATTTTGAGATATATTATGAACAACCTTATGATATGTAGTTTGACCATTAGGTTTGAAACAATAATCAGAGGTTAATAACTTATTGCCTTTTGAATCTATTATTAGTTTTGGCAAAATGTAGTAAGTTTGATTAAATACATGAAAATATGTTCTTGTTATTAATATTATTATAGATTAATTGTGTATTCTTTATATAAGGGGAATAATGATTATTGTGTAATAATAGTAAGGAACTTTGCTATATGAACATGCTGATTGAATACAAAGCTAACTTGTTGGTTGTGTGGATATAAAAGGGGTGGAACCATGAAGAAAATGAAATGAAAGAAATTTGAAAAATAAAACATATTAAAAGCTAGCCATAAGTGTTTTTGTCAAATTAATTAGTTAATGAAGATTGTCATGGATTTCAACTACCAGGGTGAAATTGTTGTTGTGATAATGATCTAAGAATATTAATTGTTAAGGTTTGCAACATATGTTTAATCGTATGAGGAGAAAATGAAAGAAAATAAATAGTTCATCATTTTTTTGTATTAAAAATAATAATGGCAAAAATCCCAAAAGAAATGAGTTCTTTATTTTTGGTCTAATCTTGCTACATTGTAAAAGTAGGGAAATTGTTTGAATGTTTTGCTGTAGAATTGGTTTGAATTTGTGATTTAATGATGTCAAATGACCTTGGATGATGTTGTTTTTGCATGAAAATAAGTTGGAATTTGAAAAGAATTTCTAAGGAATGGAAATCTTCGTTGTCCAAAATTTTAGCTATAAAAGAGGGGCTATTGTGATTGTTGATTTTTAGCCTTAAAACTAAAATAATTTGGAGTTGGTTTCTTCATAAAAGTTGTATTTCCATGTTTTAGCCTTTCATAGAGATAAATCACGCGCAAAACTGAGTTTTACAGCTTTAGTTATGATTAAGACACTAGATAGTGTTCTGGTTTGGTTAAGCTAAATTGATTGGAATTAGATCATTTTTAATCTTTGCTTGGAATTGTTGTTGAGTGATGGTTTTGTTAACAAAATTATAAGAATGAATATAAACATGAAAATGATTTAGAGTATGAGATCTTAAAGAAAATTCCTTATGATTGGTTTGAGAATACTAGTTGAATGAGAATTAAATGAAGATGTGATATTGATTGTATTGTTGATAAAAATTTAATCCCTGGTGGTACAGGGGAAGTTGTGGGGACTAGATAATTGCATGGAGTGGCAGTACATGCACCTATTCTAGGTAGGTGATTCATCACCTTATCTTGTAATTATTAGTTTTTCTTAAATGTATGTGTTATGTGTTTAATTGATGTTAAAAGAATGAAACAAATGAATAAGTTGAGTGATTATTACAAATGAGAATTATTGGGTAATTAAGAGAATTACCAGGTTTATTTGTTAACAAGGAAGTTAACTGAATATGGGGTAATTTGTATGGAATTACCGGATTGATTGGTTAACAAAAGAGGTTAGCCAGATGTTATGTAATTCGTATGGAATTACCAGATTAAATGGCTAACAAAAGAGGTTAGCTGGATGCTAGGTAATTCGTATGGAATTATCGGATTGACTTTGGCAACCAAGATGGGTTAGCCAGATTTCTTGGGTAATTAAGAGAATTATCGGGTTTATTGGTTAATAAGGAAGCTAACTAGATATGGGGTAATTCGTATGGAATTACCGGATTGATTGGCTAACAAAAAAGGTTAACCGAATGTTATGTAATTCGTATGGAATTACTAGATTAATTGGCTAACAAAAGAGGTTAGCTGGATGGTAGGTAATTCGTATGGAATTACCAGATTGACTTTGGCAACCAAGATGGGTTAGCTAAATTTCTTAGGTAATTAAGAGAATTATCAGGTTTATTGGTTAACAAGGAAGTTAACTGGATATGGGGTAATTCGTATGGAATTACCGGATTGATTGGTTAACAAAAAAGGTTAGCCGGATGTTATGTAATTCGTATGGAATTACTGGATTGATTGGCTAATAAAAGAGGTTAGCCAAATGCTAGGTAATTCGTATGGAATTACCGGATTGACTTTGGCAACCAAGATGGGTTAGTCAGATTGCTTGGGTAATTAAAAAAATTACCAGGTTTATTGGTTAATAAGAAAGTTAACTGAATATGGGATAATTCGTATGGAATTACAGGATTGATTGACTAACAAAAGAAGTTAGCTGGAGGCTGGGTAATTCGTATGGAATTACCAAAAGTACTGGTAACCGAGGAAGGTTAACCAAATATGTGGGTAATTATATGAAATTACCAGAATTATTGGCAATCAAGATAAGTTAGCCGGATACTTAAATTTTGAAAAGATTATGTGAATTAATTGATTGAAGTTAGAAGTAGTAAATTCTAAATATTATGAGTAAAATAATTAATATATGACTAAGATATTGAATTAATGTAGTTATTAAGTAGACACAATGATTTGGAGATTAGAGAAGAATTGATAGATAATTGGTTACCATAGTGTTGGTGGCTAAGGATACATTATAATGATACTTAATGATTAGTACTTAAAAATGCATTTTTATCATGGTTTTATATCATCATTTTGCACTTGAAGTATCAATAACTCCTTAACTAAAGCATGTTTTATAATAATATAAGATACCTTTAATTTAAGGTAAATTTGAAGTATCAATAACTCCTTAACTAAAATATGTTTTATAATAATGTATCTAATAATATAAGATACCTTTAATTTGTGGTAAATGTCTATTTTTAATGCAGGTCTATCACATAAATGAAAGGATTGATTGATGACTTGAAGAACTTAAATTGCATGGATAAAGAGATGGTCAAACTTAGAGAAGAGATGTCGGTGCAATCCAAACCGGAACACTGTTCGGTAATTGGGTCATATCTAGAGCTATATATCTCAGATTTAGGTCCAATTTATATGGATGGAAAGGTAAGACATAGGCCTACAACTTTCATATGGAGCCCAAGATCTAAAAAGGCCATTATCAAGTCCAAATTGTAGAAACAACAAAGAAGCCCGAATCTGTCTTCCAGCCCGAGCACTGTTCGGTATTTTGGCCATATCTGGAGTTCTAGAAGTCCAAATGAGCTGAATTTTTTACACAAGAAAGCTGAGACAATTGCCTACAACTTTCATGTTTGCAACTGGCTCCAGTTTTGACGTTATCAATGACGTTTTGGGCAGACAAGAGAAGATAAGGATTGTCACCAAGTCAAAAGTTGGCCACCCACTTATCAATTAGTCATCAAATCAATAGTTCTCAATTTTGGCCTATAAAAGGAGGCATTTGCTATGCATTTAGGCATCTTGGTTTCCAGATCAAGATCATGCTCTTCCTTTCTCTCTTTGTATTTTTTATGCTTTGTTTTCATTAATATTAAATTTATGCCTTTCATTTCCTTTCCTTTACTTAGTTAACTTTTATGTTCTTATTTTATTTATCTATTTTGCTTTCTTTCATTATGTCTAGCTAAGTTAGTTATGTCAAGGTGAAAAGGTTACACTAATGGTGTAAGAATAAGTATAGTGTAAACTTAATATGAACTGTAATGTTTGATACTCTTGAGTTTTGTATTTGTTATCTTGTTCACTCTTTAATACTTTGCTTGTTAAATGTCTAATCTTGATTTATGTTGTATAACACTTGGTACAACAAATGCTTGGCACTTTTATAGTTCATCCTGTATGGTATAACCGACACCTGAGCCATGAAAGGCACTTGATTTCTTGTGAACATAAGTTGTAATCATGAATGCTTGACGAGATTTACAAGTACTAGCATTAATCGAATAAGATGACTAATGTAATCATGTTAGCAATCTATAATCTAATTGGAACCTCCTTTGTGTGTGGTTTCCAATTGAATAATAAGAGTTTATACTATACTTGTTTGACATACCATTAGTGGAACCTCTATACTTGTTTAACATACCATTAGTGGAACCTCTAACCTTGACATTTGTTATTATTATTGTTTAATCCTTACATTAATTTTCCATCTCCAAGTTCTCATCATCATCTTCTTCTTTTCTTTCTTTATTATTATTATTATTACTACTACTACTACTACTACTACTACTACTACTATTATTATTGTTATTGTCATTGTTGTTATTATTGTTATTACTATTATTATTATTGTTGTTATTATTATTATTATTATTGTTGTGCTATTGTCGTTTATAATTTGTACAATTAACCTCCCTGTAGTTCGACCCCGGTCTTGCCGGGTTATTTATTACTTCGACACTCCTGCACTTGGGAGAAGACATCAATCTTTTCGTCGTGTCAAGTTTTTGGCGCCGTTGCCGGGGAGGTAAGTTCTTGTATAAATTATAGTATTTATTTTATTTTCTATTTTCACTTTTCTTGTATATCACTTTGTCTCTTTTATTTTGTTTCTCCTTATTTTGTTTTCTTCCTTCTTCTTTTGTTTTCTTCTTTATTTTATTATATTCCAACACGTGCATGAGAGTGTGGTCACGTACATCAAGTGATAGACTTTGTAGGGTATCCTCATCATTTTCAGAAAATATGGCTGAAGAAGATAATCAATCACTTCATAATGAAAATAATGAGAATAACCGTGCTAGAACACTTAGAGACCACATGAATCCCACAAGAACAAGTGCACCATCATGTATAGTTTTTCCTCCCGATGCATCTCATTTTAATTTTAAACCAGGTATTATTCAACTTTTACCTTCTTTTCATGGTTTAGAATTGGAAAATCCATACTTGCATTTAAGGGAATTTGAGGAGGTCTGCAACACATATAATAATTTAAATTGTAGCATGAACACCATCAGATTAAAGCTTTTTCCTTTTTCATTAAAAGATAAAGCTAAAACATGGCTACAAAATTTAAGACCAGGATCCATTCGTGCTTGGGATGAAATGCAACAACAATTTTTGAAGAAGTTTTTCCCATCTCATAGAACAAACTCTTTCAAGAGACAAATCACCACTTTCACTCAAAAACCAGGAGAAACATTTTACAAATGTTGGGATAGGTATCGAGACTTGCTTAGTACTTGCCCTCATCATGGTTTTGAAACATGGAGATTGGTTTCACATTTCTATGAAGGGTTAACACCTAAAGATAGGCAAATGGTTGAATTGATGTGCAATGGAACTTTTGAAGATAAAGACCCTGATGAAGCAATGGAGTACTTAGACTTGTTAGCTGAAAATGCTCAAAATTGGGACACCGCGGGTACATATGAGGCACCGAGTAAAACTCAACCTCATACATCTAGTGGAGGTATGTACAACCTTAGGGAAGATCATGACCTTCAAGCCAAGTTTGCATCTTTAGCTAGAAAAGTCGAGGCACTAGAATTGAAAAAGAGTGGTCAATTAAAATCTGTTGAAAACATTGTGTGTCAAATCTGTGAAATAAATGAACACTCAACCAACGATTGTCCAACCTTGCCTTCTTTTAAAGAATGTCTCCATGAACAAGCTCATGCTTTAAACAGTTTTCAAAGGGCCAACCAAAACCCATACTCCCAAACATACAACCCTGGTTGGAGAAATCACCCAAATTTCAGTTGGAAGAGTGAGAACAACAATGCACAAACTTCACAACCACCATTTCAAGCACACCACAATTTCCAAAATTCTCATGGATATGCACCTCCTTATGCTCCACTTCCTAGAAGAAATCTTGAGGAAACATTGCATGCATTCATTGAAAAGCAAGAGACAATTAATACTCAACTTGTTCAAAACATGACAGATTTTAAAGATACTCTTGCTAAATTAACATTTGCTCTTAGTTTCCAAGAGAAAGGTAAGTTTCCATCTCAAACACAACAAAATCCCAAAGGGCAATACAATGCAAATGCAAGTAGTTCCGGAAGCCAACACATGGATCAAGTCAAATCAGTCACTACTCTGCGCAGCGGTAAGGTTATTGAAAAACCCTCTCTTGAACCTTATGAGAAAGATGATGAATCAATCTCTGAGGGTAAGGAAGGGGATGAATCTGAAAATTGCAAAGAAACGACTGATTCACCGCCAGCACTTCCATTTCCTCAAGCCATGACCAAACAAAGGAAAGTTAATCATAACTCTGAAATTTTTGAAATTTTCAAACAGGTAAGGATCAATATACCATTGTTGGATGCTATTAAACAGGTTCCTTCCTATGCTAAATTTTTGAAAGATCTATGCACTGTGAAGAGGAAACTGAATGTGAAAAAGAAAGCCTTTCTAGCCGAACAAGTAAGTGCTATTCTTCAGAACAATAATGCTTTGAAATATAAAGACCCTGGTTGTCCTACAATTTCTTGCTTTATTGGAGAGCATAAAATTGAAAGAGCCTTACTTGATCTTGGAGCTAGTGTAAATTTACTTCCATATTCAGTTTTTCAAAGTCTCAATCTAGGTGAGTTAAAACCAACTTCTATATCTCTTTTACTTGCCGATAGATCTGTAAAAGTGCCTAGAGGAATAATTGAAGATGTGTTAGTACAAGTCGATCAATTCATTTATCCTGTGGATTTTATTGTCTTGGACACAGAACCTGTTGAAGCATGTAATTCATTTCCTGTTATTTTAGGACGTCCGTTTCTTGCAACCTCTAACGCATTGATTAATTGTAGGAATGGACTAATGAAGCTATCATTTGGAAACATGACATTGGAGATGAATATTTTCAACATTTGCAAGCAACCTGCAGATGATAATGATTTACAAGAAGTAGATCATATTGACGAATTAGTTTATGATCAACTTGAATCTACTTTAAGTAAAAATGAGTTGGATGAATCTGAAGATTTGCAAATGATTGATTCTGAGGAAGAAATCACGGATGAAAAACGCACCGAAAATGTTGATGCGAATCTTTTGTCAACAACGACAACAGATTCGACATCTAACATCACACCAATCGATGATTACTTTCCTAACGAATCCTTACTTTCTCTTAGTCCAATGCCTTGGTATGATAAAAATATCAATTTTCTTGCTTTAGGAGATTTGCCAACTGATTGGAGTACTCAAGACAAAGAAAAGTTTTTGAACGAAGTGAAGAGCTTTTATTGTGATGACCCTAACTTATTCAAATATTGTCCTGATCAAATATTTCAAAGATTCATTCCCGACAATGAGGTAAGTAGTGTCATTAAACTTTGTCATTTTGAAGCATGTGGAAGTTATTTCTCGTCAAAAAAGACTGCTGCAAAAATCTTTCAAAATGGATTTTATTGGCCCACAATGTTCAAAGACACACATGCATTCTGCAAAACTTGTGAAAATTGTCAAAAAATTGACACTGGTCAAAA